GCAGATGGACGGAGGCAGGAGGACAGAGAAAGGATTATTAGTGACACTTACATATGAACTATGGGTGGCAGGATGCAAAGGATGTGGTACCCTAAGTTCTAACACAATGGCATCCTGTGAGCTCTTTGTGACTGAGAACAAATGCAGTTGGAACCAACTACCCTTGTTTTTAAGCTTTGGTGTTTTCCACCCTGACCACCAGCTGAGAAAAGAAAATCTTTAGAAAGAAAAAAACGTCTTTACCTTTGTTCTCTTTTTGCTGTGAAGAGCAAGAAGTGTTCCCAAAATGATTCCAGTTTTTCTTTTAACAAACTGACAGAGAAATCACATGTGATTTACTTTCATTATTTTCCTCTTAGATCCCAATTCCACAGTGCAGTGGATGTAATGAATGGAGCAAGAATTCTAGAGGAGGTGGTCACTCTGATTGATTTAGGAGATATTTGCCAAGACAGAGACAAAGTAACAGAATATCCAACCACCCAAAATCTATTACAAAGAACATCCCAGAAGAGGTATTAATAAGCTCGGGGTTGCTTCAAGATACAACTACAGGAAAAAGAAATTGATTAAAATAATATTGCCCAAATTTCTATAAAATCACAATCCTAAATTCAAGCACACTTAGACTTAACCTTAATGAAAGTATTTTGTTCTCACAATATGAGCATAAACGAATCTAATAAAAAACATTTATAAACATTTTATGGGCTGAAACTGTACTTTTAAACATTTACTTTATAGGTTCTACTGCATTTGACCTGAACCCATAAATATGAAATATTCTAATATATATGTTTGCTGATAGTATTATTCCATGATCTTATTTTTTTGAGCAATGAGATTAATTTTTTAAAGGAATTTTCAATGTGGAGAATTAGAAACATTTCATGTAAGTAGGAAAAACAAAAATTCTCACCAGAAAGATAAAAATGAAAAGATGACATAATTTTGAGAAGAAACCATGAGAATAAATATTTCAAAATGTTGGCACTATTTAGTTCATAAACTCCATATTTTTCCCAAAGCTCACATGGAAGAAGCACACCAGCCTGTGTGATCACAAGGTGTCAAAGGGATTAGGTATGAGGCGTCGAAGAACAAAAAATCTTATTGAGAATGTGGGGCAGTGTGGAGTGGGGAACCAATGCCCATCTGTAGGCAACTGGACATCCCCTTAGGGAAGAAGGGTTATGGGGAGGAGAGGAACCAGCCAGGGTGCTGTGTAGCAAAGATGAAACATACAACTTTCCTCTACTTCCTAAATGCTTCCTCCCCCTCCACTATAATGATCCCAACTCTACCTTACAAATCTGGCTAGAGCAGAGGATGTACACTGGTACAGATAGGAACTGGAAACACAGGGAATCCAGGACAGATGATCCCTTCAGGAACAGTGTGAGAGTGGCGATACCAGGAGGGTGGAGGGAAAGTGGGGTAGAAAGGGGGAACCCAATTACAAGGATCTACATACAACTTTCTCCCTGGGGGATGAACAATAGAAAAGTAGGTAAAGGGAGACGTCGGACAGTGTAAGACATGACAAAATAATCATCATTTATAAATTATCAAGTGTTTATGGGGGGTAGGGGAAAATGAGAAGCTGATACCAAGGACTCAAGTAGAAAGCAAATGTTTTGGGAATGATGAGGGCAACAAATATACAAATGTGCTTGACATATGGATGTAGGTATGGATTGTGATAAGAGTTATATGAGCCCCCAATAAAATGATTTTAAAAAATAATGAAATTTGAGAGCCAGAATAGATTTCATTATTTAAATCAGGGTGTATCAGCCTAAATAAAACTTTGGCAAGATAAGACTTTGTTGTGAAAGCTATTCTGCGTATTGCAGCGGCAGCGCTGGTTTCCCTCTGCTGGAGCACAGAGGTAACACCACCCTCAGTTGTGATACAAAATCTTCAGGCCCTCACAAATGGTTGGGAGGGTGTGTGGAAAACCTGCCCTGTTAACAGCTGCTGCTTTGTGCCATGAATGTACACTGCATGCCCATCACCAGCAAGGAATTCTACCACTAGAATCCTTAAGAAGGTTTGAAGGAAACTCAAAATCTTACTCATGCAGAAGTACCAAAGAAAGCTAAATAATGGTTTCTAAAAGGATACATTCCATAGTAAAAATGAATAAAATTTCATTAGATGCCACCAAGAATAAGAGAATCCTGCTGGCTACTTATGCTTTGGGCTGCTAACTGCAAGGTCAGTAGTTTGAACCCACCAGTCACTCCTTGGGAGAAAGAGTTACAGTCTTAGAAAGTTGCAGGGGCAGGTCAAGCCTGTTTTTTATAGTCACGATGAGCAGGCATTGACTCAATGCCAGTGAGTTAGGTTTATTTTTTAGCAAGAATAATATGACAGATTTGTTTTAATGTTTGCATTTGTTAAAAATTATTTTCACATATAACAAAAGGAGACCCATAGTGGTTAAGAGTTTGGCTGCAGTTCAAAACCACTATAGGCTCGCTCTTCAGCGAGCATGATGGTCTCAGAATCTCAGGGGGGCAGTTCTATGCTGCCCTGTAGGGTTGCTATGAGGCAGCACTGACTTGATGGCAGTTGATTTTGGTTTGGTTTAAGTGCAGAATATAGAGACAAGAGAGAGACTTATCAGATCAGTTTTGATATATTAAGAGCTTATGGACCTATGGCTTTAGAGAACCCACATCATATGAACACGTTTATAGCATTTAACAGCTGTATTTGTTAGGTTAGCTTAGGGACAGGGCGGTTGTCCCTCTCATGCCTGCAAAGGCCCCCATAGGGGAGGTTGGAAAGAAATCGGGCAGCCTTTGGACACCTATGGGAAGACCCCAAACTAAGCATGCAGACTAGAACCCCTTAGCACAGGTAAAACCTAAAACCTACACTCCACCTTAGGTCCATCACACAGGTGGGCCTAACTCAGCCAATGAGGTCAACCAATACCTTCAACCACGCCTCCCCAACCAGAGGATTGAACATCCTGGCTGTGGGAAGGCTTCCTCCACTCTTACCCTGCTCCTGGTCAGCGGATAGAGGAATAGGGTCTCCTTTCACTGTGTGGGTGCACATGCACCCACTCCGGGCCCACACAACCTTTTGGCCCACACGTTTCCAGTGTCTGGGCCCACATGCACCTAGTCTCCAGGGTTCTTGGGCTTCCAGCCACCCGGGACCTCCTCTCCCCCAGTTACACACTTGTGGGTACTCTTTACCACATGGTTGTTTGTGCTTAGTTGTGAACTCCAGTGTGGCTTCTACACAGCTTGGCACCAGTGGTTCTAAACCTTCCTAATGCTGCGACCCTTTAATACAGTTCCTCATGTTGTGGTGACCCCTCCAACCATAAAATTATTTTCATTGCTACTTCATCACTGTCATTTTGCTACTTTTATGAATTGGGCGACCTCTGCGAAGGGTTGTTGGACCCCGCCCAAAAGGGTCATGACCCACAGGTTGAGAACCGCTGCTTGGCACACTTTCTAGAAACAGCATACACCTTTTTTAGATTGTAGAACCTGAAACTTTTCTTGTCCTTCATAAAAAATCACTTGGATTACAAAATGTGCTTCAGTGTGAATTCGTTCAGCGTGCAAAGCAAAGAACAGAGGTATAACCCACTCCAGGAACCAGAAATAGTCTCTTCCCTATGTTCTTGTTCCCCATAATTAGCCATAGGACCAATCTCTTCTCCAGACCAACCTCTAGTAACTGTATGATCTTCAATTAATTCATCTGTAAAACTCAAACAAAAATATAACAGGGGTGTAGGGGTGGAGTCTAGGCTATCAATCTGGAGATAGCCAATGAGACTTCTGTGTGGGCACGGCCTTCCCCTGAGAATTCTGGGAAATCTGGTACTTCCTCTTTGGAGGTGGAAGACACCTCTCTCTCTCTCTCTCTCTGCTACTCCCTGGGAGACATTGCAGAAGACAAGCCACATGGACGCCACCAGACCTCGGAAGCCGGAGAAGCCATGCACAGACCCCTGCCAGCTCTGAGATGCTTACAATAACACTGGATCCAAAGACTTTCTACCCACTGGCCTGTGATCTTCTACATTCGGGGTCATTTCATGTGTTTCGTGAGTCTAAAAATGACTTTATAGATTGATATCAGAAATATGGGCTAATGTCGGACTTAGGGAATTGATCTGGACTGGACTGGGATGTTTTCTCAATGTTCAATTGCTCTTGTATATAAATCTCTTTCTTATACACATATGTGTGTCCATGGATTTGTTTCTCTAGTCTACCCAGGATAACACAAAAAGTGATGGTAAATTTCATCAAAACAAACTTGAATCCTTAGATTGGGGCACTGGCTTATACATAGTGCTCGCAGGGCTGAATTTCTCTTTCTAGAGTGTCAATTAATGACCATATGAGGGGACATGGAAGAATTTGGAAGTACAAGTTTTCTGATGTCTCATTCAAGTTCAAAGACTGTATTACATGGTCCACTTGGGCTGGCTAATTTCTAATTGAACTTTGTATGTGCGTTTGTCTTTCCCGTAGGATGGCAAGAAACCTCACGTGGAGAGTTTCATGTTTGTTTTTCCGGTCTCACCAAGGAAAGGTGAGAATCACAGCAGACTCTGGATCTTACAGCGTGAATCCCCAAATGCCTAGAGAATGCTGTAAAATGAACTGAATTCAGGAGGAAGACTAATTACCCATCTAAGAATGAGGGAAACACACATGCATTGCAAATGATCATTAAGAAAACTAAAAACATCCTGTTTAAAATCTTTCCGAGGCTCCCACTGTTATCTTCGTACTACAAACTGGAAAAATTCTATCACTTGATAATCTTGTCTATGGATCATTCTTTTTTGTAATAACAATAAGGACATACACCTTTCTAATTTGTTAGATTTGGATTTTTGGTTACTTGTTTTTTTGTATTTTCAGTGATCCTTTGTGCAATAATGATTATCTGTTAACGACCTCTATTTTTAACTATGATTGCAATGTGAAACAGTGGCACCTACCACTTACCACTGTAGTGTCTGATGGTGTCAATATGTAAGAATTTCTTGACAACGAGATAAGCAGAGCCAGGTTCAGCTAATGAACTCCACCGAAGCACCTGTTCTAACACATTTTCTGTGTAGTGAAGAGGGCGCTCTGTAAAATGAGACGAAATGAAACATTACCCAATGCCAAGTGAAAAGACATCAATCGTTGGTTTTTAACTTACACTTAAAAACATCCTTTAGAAAAGATCTGCATCCAACAGTATATAGACATAACAATATGGCTGTGTAGTTTAGGTACTGGGCTGCAACACCAGCCTACCAGCCGCTCACGGGGGAATGATGCTGTCCGCTCTCGGAATGATTTAGAGTTGTGGAAATCCTATGTAGGTTGCCTCTTAGTTGGATTTGACTCAATGCTAGTGGGTTTGGTTTTCTGCATAGCCCAGACATAGCTGTAGCACTACATATTAGAGGCTCTAAGATCTAATACAAATTTTAACCATAGAGTGAAATTTACTATACATCTAAATGAAGCTGCAATTACACTACCCAATAATTTAATTAAACAAAACAAAACAAAAAAACACAGGTGTTTTCCTGGAGATAAACTCTTGGAAGTAATTCTATATTACATTCATTTAAAAAAATTCTAGTTTCCTTATGGAATGCTGTTTATTTGTACACATTATTCAATAGTTTGAAAAGTACTAGCAAAGTTTAACTTGCTTAGCACTAAATAAATATAATAAATTAACTCTCTTTGCTTAGCAAAACAAAATTAACCTATTTTCTAACTCACAATAGTGAATAACTTATAGCTTATATTTTCACAGTTAATAAGAAATTATAAAATACAACATCTAAATAGACTTATTAAAAGTTATAAAACAATACTGAGTCACCATGTTTAGCTATTAATAAAAATACCCATCATAAACACTACATGGAAACATTATACATTAACTGTTGAAATCATATACTGACAAGCAGATTTAATGACAGCCTAAATTTTTTTCCTTTAGTCTACGATGATAAACATTTATTCATATATACTTTCAGGTTTACTTATTTGTAAATGCATCACACGTTCTCAGCATCAAATTAAAACAAACAAATAAAAACAAAATCATAGCTTTTACAATTATAATCAAAGTTTCATAGGAATTTTTTGGATGATCAAAATATGCCTTTGAGTTAATTAAATTTAACAGCAAAAACATAGGCTGGGTATGAGAAATGCAACCTTGTTCAAGAATACTGCAAATAGCTGCAGTGAAATTCCAGTGGAACAGAAGCCTGACATGAACTGGTTGGCAGGGCTTTCCTTAGTAGGCGTTCCCCTTCAACTCTCTCCGAAAGCCTCTTCTCAATGTGAGGCTCCTGGCATGCAGGGTTTTCATTGTTGGTTATAATAGTCATGGTAATGGGAGACACAAAAAACATCCTCCCTGTGGCATCATACCCTTGCATGGAGGGGCGTCAGAAAGTTCACGGAAAGATTACATTATCTTTTAATCCCATTTTTTCCCACAAACTTTTTGAATCTCTCCCTCACGTAAACCATGACATTTTAATTCTTAATACAATTACAACAGAAAAAGAACAAGTACCCCACCTCCTTGCTAATACTGCTCTACCTGCTATTGCCACATCAATACTCTACAGGTCTACAGCAAAGAGAGGAATGGGGTCAACACAAGTAACTCCAGAGACCTGATGCCACGGTTGGTAAATGTTAGACTGCTAACTGTAAGGTCGGTGGTTCAAATCCACCAACCATTTTTCCGGACTAAGAGGAGGCTATCTGCTGTCTTAAAGACTGACAGCCTCTAAATCCCTATGTAGGGTCACTATGAGTCAGAAAAACCTCGAGGGCAGTGGGTTTGGAGTTGGATGACAAGTAGTTACTACAATGGTAGCTCTAACATCTTTCTAGTTTATTGAAAAATATCACAGAAAAAAACAGATATTTATTAGCAGACATAAAATTAATTTTGTTTGCAAGGGAGTTAGGCAAATATACTTTTTCACTTCAATATCATAGTGTGAAATATTTCACAGGAGAAGAAAACCCTTAAGATTCAAGTTCCTCGATAACGAAGCTGAAAATTTGGATAAAAGATAAGGAATATTTATTGTACTGCCAAATGCTACAAATATTAAATAACACCAAAAACCACCATAAGAAAGGGATAAAGAGCAGGGGAAAAATGATTGAGTCTTCGTTGTCATATAAATTCTTACAAACACATGCTTATTCATAGTTACATTCACCATCATCTGTCATGACAGATTATATAATGCTTAAGTCATCTGGCAACAAGGGCATTTCTAGAAATAACTATGATTCACATGCATACCATCTACGGCTTGAACGTCGCTACGTACTCACTGTCGTGATTTGAACAGAACAGGCGGCTGTGATGGCTCTTTATCTAGATGAAAGTTCTCAATTGCTCAAACTTCTGTTCACAGATAAACTTGTCTTCCCTCTTTCAACAGAGTGCTGCCTGTTTCCCATCCCAAACAGCAGCTGCCACCCTTACATTTCTGGTACGAGTGGTATCGGATTTCTAGGGACAATTAAGAATGTCCCAATAACTGAAGTACAGTGCCTAACTTAGTGGCACCAATTCGTGGTGTGTGAGCTGTCTCTGCCCATGTCAAGCAGAAGGGCTGGACAGGATGCTGCTTGGACATAAACAGAGTCCATCACAATGGCTAGGAGAAAGGAACAGGAACCGGCTTGCTATGGCATTTGTTGTCTAGGTAGGAACTGCCGCATTAACTTAAGTCTCTCCGTGAAGAATCCACTGACTTTAGGTCCCTTAAACAGTTAACGCTGCTCGGCCTCTCATTCAAGATATGAAGAAAAGAAAGGGTGTGGGTGATACATGGACAGAGGAAGAGTTCTAAGGACAGCTTTAAGATGCAGCATCAAAATAATGGCACACTTTAGAAGAGTCGCCCTCTATGGAAGTGATACCATCCTCAGGGTGCGTTCCAGGTTGCCCACGTCATTGGTGGCAATGAGTGCTTGCCTTCCTTGGAAAAAGGCAAGAAAGAACGGCTGTCAATCCAGCATCAATTTCTGAAAATACCACTGGGCCAACTATCAGAGGAAAACCCATTTATAAATTAGGTGATCCTAGAATCCCTTCAGCTTTACCTTCTCAAAATGTCTTCAAGGTTTGATTGTGCACTCATTTTTCCCATAACTGTGTTGACTATATGAACAAACAAACAACAAGTCCGTTCATTGGTTTAATCAGAACTTTCCTAAGCAGCATTCACTGTTGAAGAAAAGCATTTCACCAGTGATGGCAATGCTACTAATGCCTATTGAGTTATAAATATGACACACCCATATCATTTGACAGCTAAAGAGGTAGTATCCATGATGACTACATTTACATGTGCAAGAAGCTACTGTCATTATCTTTGAATATTTAGGGGTGCTTGAGCATTTAAAGGTTGTAGTGCATATTTTCTTCTGACTCAATTTTGTGTCTTATTAGGTATTGTAAGGATGATGGGCCTGTGTCACACACTGCTAAGACAGAGCAGTCCTGGGTAAAGGAAGGGGGCAGCGGAAACGAAGAATGCCCTCCACAAGAAGGATTGACATGGGGCTGCAACAATGGCTCAAATATTAAAGCAATTTGTGAGCATGGCCCAGGCCCAGAGAGTGTTTCATTGTGTTGTATGTAGGGTTGCCATGGTCTGGAACCGACTTCACAGCCCTTTCCAATAACATTAAATTAAAACATGAACATCACAGACTGCTGCAGAAAAATTAAAAGAATGTTATAAGATATTTATTTTACTACACAGCACATTAGGTAGGACGGGGTGAAGAATCACTTCTTTAAAAAAATACTTGCTAAAATGTTAATGTATTTATTCCTTTCCTTTCCTTGACTGCATTATTTCGAGGGTTTATTTTTGTATCAGCAAAAGCACCAATTTTCTGATGACATTCTTCCTAGCAACTACAATTTTGAGAGTGCCTATGTCTTTTCTCTTATCTCCTTTTAAATTCGAAGTTCCTGTCCCTGCATGCTACTGGCAGTAAAGCTTTTAACATTTCAAAAGGTGAGCTGACACATACCAGTCCCGTCCCCCCCCCCACTCCCCCCCAGTAAGCCACATCATCACAGGCCTCTTTGTGGCTTCCCCAGAAGCAGTGGAAAATAAAGATTTCTCTTTTGTGGGGTGCTATTGGTGGGGCTGGCCATAACAACCAGACATTAAAAAGTTGCTACATTTGAATTCCTAACTCCACCAAATAATGAATTCTTCCTTGGCATACTTGGAGCAAGCGAGTGTGCGTGCGTGGTGGGGAGATGGGGATGGTACAGACAAGCAGAAGAGGGTGGAGTTGGTAACAGATTCCATCAACCACACATCAAAATTGAAGACTTAGGTTTTTTTTCACACGTTTACCATTATTTTTAAGAGAAAGGAAACAAAAATAATAAACATTCCCCATCATCATATCTTGCCATTTAATATCCTGATTATTGCATGCATTTGGTATCATCAGTTGTTTTCAAAGTGGGTACCTCCTGATTTTTCCAAGATGAACTTTATGATTATTATCTTCAAACATAATATATGCCCTCTCTGGGTAGGTAGAATTCCCTCCAGTGGAGCTGCTGGTGGGTTTGAACTGCTGACATTTCAGTTAGCAGCCCAATGCACAACCCACTCTGCCACCAGAGTTTGTTGAGCCAAAGTCAGTAAAGGTCACAATTCATTTGGAGACAGTGATGGCTCTTTTCTATGAAGGAGACTAAGGCTTATTCTGGGTAACAGCCCGAAAGTACAACTATCACTTCCTGTAAGTGGAGGCTTGTATGTCACTATGAAACTCATCAGGTTTCAGTGAAACACGGACACTAAAACAGACTATGAAGTAAGCTGTGGCAATCTACTATAATCCAGTCAAGAAAACCATATGAATCACAGGTTTGCTCCTCCCATATTTTGGGTCTCCATGGACTTGGGGCTAACTCAACGGCAACTAGCAAGAATAATAAAAGAGTATTTTCTACCTGTTAGTTACAAACTGAGAATTGCAAGATCACAGTAAAGAGCATGTGAAGTGAAAAAAGGCAAGAAACGAGATAAGACCAGGGCAAACTCAACATTTAGGGGCAGAAGTAAAAGCGCTGTAAATGAGGCAACAACAAAAAAAGTAGCATGACGTTAGGAGGCGAACCCAGGCCACACTGAAAACATAGTAAAGACTGTCAACGAGAAAGAGAAAGGGCATCAACAAAAATCACCACCGAAGGAACAGGTCAAGTGGAAGAGCACAAAGCAATCCCCTTGGACGAGGCAGTAGAGGTCATGGGAGTCATCTGCCAGCACAGTTCCCATGAACGGACAGACTCCACGGAAAACTGTGCAAACTGACACAAAAGCTCCACAGTCTCTCAGTCCTGGCAGTATAAATGGAGAAACAACATTCTAATGCAAACCAAACATTAAGAGAATTGTACACAGTAAACAGAAACAAAGGAATACATGCATTGATAGTGAACACTTAAAGTATTTGAGAAGTCCATTTAATTCTAACACTGATTGCAAAACTCTTAACAACACACCATAGAGCATTTCAATATTGAATTTTAATTTCTATCATCAGCTTGAAATAGGCAATATTTGATATTTGGCAGTTTGACAGCTATACTTGAAAGGGTCCCAAGACCTTAAGTAGGTCTCAGGTAGACAGATGGTCATGGCACATAAACGGTCTACATTGTATTATTATTACTATTATTTTCTTTTCCTCAAGGTGTTTAAAACAAATGGTGATTTTAAAAGGTGAAGCTCATTGAGAACTATTAGGGTAGTCAAGGTGATTGACAAGTGCTCTTTAGCCTTTGGTGTCCTTGCGATGAAGGATGACAAAATGTTTGATCCATTAAAGATAGATAATAAAGTTTTGTGCTTTTTTTTTTTAAAGCTTGTTAGGCTTAACCAAAACCGTTTCATAAAATAATAACTATTTCAAGTTGAATTTCCTACCTTTGTCCATATGAAGTAAATGGCACTCAAAAATAAGGTGAATTGTGGTGACTGTGAGGGTACGGTTACAAATACAATTGCTCATGCTTAAAACCAAAGTTCCTGAGGCAGCAACTCAGACATCTAATGCTTTGCACTCTATTTTTAATAAAGTCTATAATCTAATCATTCCGATGGGCAAAATCACAGGAAGGCAACCACAGGAGGTTACTAACACAACTTCCAGACATATATTGAAATGGAGGGGAATTTATAATGAGATGTTAATCTTTAGTAAAACATGTTAGTAATGAACTCCAAAAAAATAGAATAAGATCCCTAGCATGAAATTCACTTACCAAGCTCCTCATTTTCAGTAACTTCAAAAGTGGCCCAGACATCACCTTTCACAGGTATGATATTTTTTATTGCTAATATATCATTAGTCAATTCTTCCGCTTCCATTACAGGTGATATCTATAAGAAAAGCAAAAGACCCTTAGAAAATATGTCAGGAAAACGAGAAGGCTTCTCCACATTCTAAATTGTTAGGTGCCATCGTATTGATTTCGAATGGTAGTGACCCCGGTGCTAACAGAAGATACTGATGCCAGATCCGTGCCGTTCTCACCGTAGTGACTATGTTTGAAGCCTTGGCTGCAGCCCCGGTGCCAATCCATACACTACATCTGACCACCTCAAGTTTCTCTCTAGCATGTTTAAATAACTCCTCTGTGTACAAAGGAACGATAGCATCTTACATCTTCTCTACAAAATGCAGTACATTTAAATGTAAGTGCAAAAAGTTATTACAACACTGGCATGATCACGAAGATTACTTTTCTCTCAGTGAGTGTGAGCAATCACAATACTCAGGAGGGAAGATGTTACCTAGTCAGTTAGAGAAAGGGAGTCCAATAATCTTCTAGCAGTGAAAGTACACTGAGTTCTATATAAAAATCCCAGAATGGCTCGGTGTACTCTGTCTGGGCTCTAAATTATGCAGTGATTTGCAGTCCCACCATGCCAAAGGCCGCAGGGTTTCAGTGGTCTGAGATATGCATGTCATGCCAAGTGGCAGATGGTGAGGCACCAAAGCTGGAGCCAGGCTTTCGGATCATAGGACAGATTCGGCATTGCCAGTTTGGGGGACAGTTTGTCTAGAGACCCAATCTCAGGCCAATGTGTAAGCATATCACCCTCTTTGGGGACTTTTGGAATTTTTTATTCCTGCCCGCCACCTCCCCCATGTTTGCCAATTTTAAATGCATGATAGTCCAAAGCAAACTGCCTCACATCTATTAGGATTCAATTATAATGTTAAACAAGTAGAAATTGTTTTAAGATTGAGAATATTGTAACTTGAACTTTGTTTATATATATCAGGAAAAGTATGCTTCTATGGAAATTTTTTAAAACATTAGTATATGGTTATTTCCATTTCTTCTGTGCATTACTTCTGATAAGCAAATTGCACACATACAACTCACACACAGGTCACTCATACAGCCCATCATTTGGACCCCATGGGATTCGGTGTTTATTTAGAGATGTTTATTATACCATCATACAGTCTAATGTATTCTATTCAGAAAAGCCCAAATGAAATATTAACTTAAAACAGACCAAAAAACAATACACAGAATCTGGGGAAAAGAAATAACTTGAAGCAGGAAGAAATGTTACACGATTCCTTTCAATGATGCCATTTGTTCATCTGTATACATTTCAGATTTGTAAGAAGTAGAGCCCTTTGTAAAAATCATATCTATTATCAAGAATCTAAACACATAAAATAGGTAGAGCGTTTCCCTGGTTATGTAGGAATGAAGGTCAGGGAATCTATACTTTGTCCTCGGGGAGATTCCAGCCTCTCCTTAGAAGAGTGAGCTCTGCAGAGCATGGATTGAAAACCGTTATTCTAATGATAACACAGATCCATATAATGAACATCAAGTTTGAATTTGAAGACCCAAGCTCGAGTACTAGCCCCCATCTCAGCCACCTGCTTCCATGCTTACAAATTTGAGATATCATCTGCTTCAGAGTCCCGTGGGATAATTCTACGCTGGCCTTCTGGGTTTCCAGGAGTCAGAATCAACTCCCTGGCAACTCGTTTGACTTTAGGGGAGGTAAAAGGGAGAGAGACAACTGCGTCCTAAAGTCAAATCCGATGACTGCTGTTATCCAAGCTCTATATTCTGAGTAAGCTAGGTAGTGCCACGTAATCATAGTGCCCACTCATTAAATAAATATATACTGTAATTACAGTATATTTAACATAGCTAAAATTCAAAAGTACCACATGTTGACTTTTAAAAGGACAAGGTGCTAGAGCTGAATCTCTATTGTTATATGGTAGATAATCTACTTTGCATACAAAAATAATAGTTTAACTTTGTAAGACCCTGAAATATCACTGTTGCTATGCCTACCACAGACTACTTAATAAATATAGTGCTATAAGTAGGATCTATTTTAAATTCAGAACAAAAGACCAATATGCTCAACGAAGAAAAGTGTTATCCACTATTCAAGTACATTGAGGAATTGGCAGCTAAAATTTAGGACACTGGACTAGCTTATTAACACTATCAGTTGTAACTATTAACTATTTATTGATCCTTTTCGATGCGTGGAGCAATTTGCTAAGTGTTTTTACCTGTATTATCTTATTGGGTCCTCTCCTCAATGCTATGGTCTAAGTAGTATACATTTTCTTCACGTCGTAAACGAGAAGCATGAAGAGAGGCAGTCCACACTGTTGAACAGCTGGGATGAGGGGCTAGTGTCTGAGCCTCAGTTTGGATGCTCCAGAAGGAAAATGCTAACCATCAGCTCGTGCAGATAAGCTACTCTCTTTCCACCTGACCAAGTTATAGAATTCCAGAGGTTCCTACCCTAAAAAGGCCATCTTGTCATAATCATGATGGGAACTGAAACATATTTTAACATGTAAGATACACCGGGAAATTTCGAATGTATGAATTAATTCTAAAACTTGTGATTCTCAACAGTATTTTGTACACCCAGTTTCCAGACTCACCCGGATGATAATACTGCAGTCAGGTTGCTTCCTTTCAACATACACTTCGATTAACAAATCTCCAGCCTGCGAAACCTAGAAAAAGGTCAATGAGAAGGTGGCATATGTAAGTGTGTTGGAAGAACACACATGACATTTAAAAAGGTTACAAAATCCTAGTTCTATTTCTAAACATTTTATAATAATGAAAAAAATGCGTTCAATCCCCACAATGAACCAGCACGATGACCCCACTTTTCTGATGTAGTGGATAAGGACAAAGAATCTACAAATTGATACAAACAGTAATACTCACAAGGGGAGTTTTCATCTTTTACTCAGCTCTTAGTGTCCCAGAATGCCCTCACATTCTTACCATAATAATGAGTCAAGAAGCAAATCTGGTGAAGAAAGCTGTTGGTGCCTGGCTATCAAAAGACATAGCGTCGGAGGTCTTAAAGGCTTGAAGATAAACAAGTGGTCATCTAGCTCAGAAGCAACAATGCTCACATGGAAGAAGCAGCCTGTGCGATGATCACAAGGTATCGAAGGGATCCGGTATCAGGCATCATCAGAACAAAAAATCTTACCATAGCGAATGAGGGAGAGAATAAGGAATGGAGACCCAAAGCCCATTAGCAGGCCACTGGAGATTCCCTTGCAGAGGGGTCTCTGGGAG